CCGGAGGCAGCGGGGCCGGGACCCGGCAGGAAATGGAAGGATGAAGTGTGCAGCCGGAGCGGTGATGTTCCTTCTCTCCTTGCTTTCCCCTGCAGGAACGTAATCCGCAATGCTAGTTCTCAGGTTGCTCAATGTTGTCGCTCCAGCCTACTTCTTGTGCATCTCCCTAGTGACCTTCGTCCTCCAGATCTTTCTCTTCATCCCCAGCATGTTCAGAGACCCTTCCACCACCCCACTTTTCTCTCCTGCTCTGCTGCATGGGGCCCTCTTCCTCTTCCTCTCAGCTAACGCCCTGGGCAACTACGTCCTTGTGATCCAGAGCTCCCCCGAGGACTTGGGCAAGGGCTTAAACTTGGGCGAAGGAGCCGAAGTGGTGGCGGTTGGCTGGAAGCAGGTCCCCTGGCTCAGCCTTGCCCAGCACTCACTTCTGTAGACTGTGTGCCAGAGTCACCCAGAGGCATGACCACCACTGTTTCTTCACAGGGAACTGCATCGGGAGCAGGAACATGCGAAACTTTATCATGTTCTGCCTCTACACCTCCCTGGCTTGCCTCGACTCCCTGGTGGCAGGCATGGCTTACATTTCTGCTGCACTCTCCATGTCCTTTGCGAACCCGCTGGCCTTCCTCACTCTTCTGCCTCACTCCATCAGCCAGTTCTTCTCAGGTAAGAACTCCTTCCTCCGAGCTGAGGAGCGTCTTCCTCCTCCAGGGCTCCCGTGGTTGGGGGGACATGATCTTCCTTGGATAGCTGTGTGTGGGGAGCAGTGGTGGGGAAATGGGCAAGAGGGAGAATTGGCTGTGTTCAACAAAGTCCTCATTAGGGGCTAGAAATGGCCTTTGCAAAGGACTTTGCTTCACCTGAAACAGAGGCTGGGACCCACTCCAGATTACAGCCACAGCCCTCCCTATTCCTAATGCATTAGGGTCTGGAAAATGCCCCGTAACCAGCTTGCTGGTGATAGAATAGGGCGCTCTGTTGCGCAGGGAGTGTTTGCAATTAGGCGGAGGAGACGGATTGCACTCATTGTACTGGAGGTGAGGGGAATCTTTTGCCTATCCTATAAGCAGCTGGAGGGTCTGTAGGTTTTCATGTCCTACAAGTCTGCAGGTTCCCCATATCCCAGCAGAGAGATTCTCATTCTTTTCATCCAGGTCCACTCACCCCCTCCACTGTCACTGACCTCCTGCCTCCTGGCAGCACAAACATACCGAGAGCTTGCCATCCTTCCAGCGGAGGAGAATTGGGGTTCAGGCAACAGAAACCAAGAGAGGAATTAATGTGACATGATTAGCCACCTCTCTCGTGACCCCAGTCTGGGACACAGGTCCACAGAGAACCGGGGGAAATTCTCTGTGCCTGCTCTTTGCAAGAGCCCCACACCAAAAGCAAACACCTCTTTCTCTTTGTCCCCATCCCTTACCCTTCCTTATCTCCCTTTTCCCCTCTCTCCCTGCCTGCCCATAAATCTCCACAACCCTTCCCTGTCCCCCTCCTGATACTGCTCCCGTAACTCTTGCTCTGCTCTTCTAGCCTTGCCTCTTCACCTTTCAACACACCCTCAAACTCTCCCACCTCAACACTTTGTCTGTCCAAACCCAAGAGCTAGATAAAACCTGGTCTTAGAGAGGGGACCATGCAGACAGCCTGGACTGTTATTCTGCCCTGAAAGCAACTGCAGAAAAATGCCATTTCCCTCCCTATGCAGCTCATGCCTCGCACACTTAGATCAGCTTTCATTAGACTAAAATAGGTATCCCATATATTTTAGCTTTGCAGATTCAGTTGAGCTCAGTAAGAAGGGCCTGGAGTCTTTTTTGGCTCATGCACCATCACCAGAAGTGTTGACTATGATCTGAGTGTGGGGTCTCTGCTGCTGGGGATACAGGAGCCAGAGAGGCCCCAGCTTGCTTTTTGGATTCCAGGCTGGGTTTGCAGGGTTGCCATGTGAAAACAAACAAATATCTCTCTACTTGGCAAATTAGCAGATTTGTCATGGTTATCACTGAAAGACAATAAACATGAAATCCTGCCATGACATTTTTATGGAGTCATTTTTCCAAGTAGAAGAATTTTTGTAAATAATACTGCACGAGCTTCACTAGCATTAAAAACACTGGGAATTATTTTCCGCTCTGCCTAAGCTCTGCTCAGCACAGCAGCCTGGGAGGGAGAGCAGGGATGTGGGAGGAGATTATCAAGGACTTGGTTCTCTTCTGACTCTGTGGGCTCATCTGCACCGAGCTGGGCCCTGGCATATGTTTGAAGAGCTCCAGCTCTGGTGTCAGCATGTCAGTAGTGCCAAGGACAGCATGTGGGCAGCGTTTGAGCGGGACACAACGGGGCTGGGAGCAGGGATGGGAGCTGGGAGCCAGAACAGCCTCGAGAGGCAGCAGCTCCCAGCAGCTCCCACCGAACCTCTAGCTTGGCCGGGGTGAGAACTGCTGCCTCATACAGCAATATACGGCACATAGCGTCTTGGTTGCTTGGGCAGAAAGGCCTGCTGGGTTTCTACCAGCACTCTTAACCTCCAGGTCAGGAAAGAAAAACACAGCATGGATTAGTTACCTGGAAGGATTGTCCACCCAATATTTTTCAGCTAACGTAATTATTACTTAAGGGTTGTTGTAGGATCCAAACAGAGCATTGCTATATCAGGGAAAAAACTTTACCTTTCTTCTTCTCCAGCATGCCCTCTGCACTGGAGGAGGAGCAAAGGAGGATGGAGGGTGAATTTGCTGGTCTTATGTCAACTGAGTGTTTCCTGCTTTCATGCTGGGAAAATTTTCACTTGGCTCCTTCTGTCCAGACTGTGCTTGGGCATGGATTTCAGGATCTGGCCCAGAGTCTATAATTTCAGCCTGTAATTCAGCTTTTCTGCCATAGTTAATGCATGGCAATAAACTTGATATCACACCAGGTCAGTTAGAGCAAAAGTGAATCTGAGACTAAAATGGACTGTGGTGATGAGGGACAAATGGAGAGTACTTTTGTAAATACAGGTCAGATTGAATCCACAAAAGAAATTACAGAAAATGCTTTATGTAGGTAACCTGAAGAAAAAGTTAAAAAAACCCATGTGTCTGGAAATCACAGCTCAGAGATGCTTAGTATTTGCAAGGGGAAACAAGGGTAATTACTTTCCTGAGGGCAAATTTCAGCAGCTCATAGAAATAAAGCTTACAGCCACCTTGCAAAGGCTCTAAAGAAAAATTCTCCATATCCCATCTGAATATCAGCAGTAGGAAAGAAAAAATGCCTGTCACACTCTGGTCCAGCAGAAGAGGGGCAGAGAAGCCCGTATTTGGCTCTGGGCTTCCTACCTGATAGATTAAGTTATTCCGACACAATTGGTATGAGGATTTGTCATCACCCTACGGGGCTTGCGCTTCCCTTGCTGTGTTGCATATGAAGCCCACTGAGCTGAATGGGATCTAATGAGAAGGGAAAGATGACATTGCATTTAGGAAGAAAACTGAATGACTCCCATGCCTTTTTCAAGCGAGGACAATCTCTGAAAGCTTGAGGCTGTAGTCAGTGTCCTTACAAATCATCCTCAGAGGGGCCTGCTGGCTGAGCCCAAAGCTTGACATGATTGTCACAAGTCAGCCCCAATCTCTCACTTACAGCACTGCCAGGTGGAGAAGCCGGGATTCACAGATGGCAAAACCAGATGACACCATCTAATCTGGCCTTCTGTATAACAGAAGCAGGAGATGCTTATCCAGCCACCCTTGTATTGAACATAAAGCCTGAAGCAGCCACGTACTTGTTTCAGGCGGCACACCTGCACTGTCCGTGCAATCCCTGCCACGGCAGGATTGCTCTTGCAGGGCTCTAGAGAGATCCGAGCTTTTCACCTGCCCGAGTCTGCCTGCCGCATGGAGAGGAGCCTGTGAGAGCTTTTTCATTTTTAAACCTCACAGGAACCAGTGAGAGGATATCGGCTATTTATACCAGCACTGACACAAATTTAATTTTCTTTGTGTGTCTCTGTGTAAATACGGGTGCTTAATAATATACTGATATACACAAAATATGTGTGTACACATTCATATGCACATACAGAGAGTATTATTGTAATGGGTTTAGATCTGCCTACGCACTGAAAGGTCACTCAGTTATACCTGCTATTATACTAATATTTTCCAGGAGGAGTTCTAAAATCACTGTAGAGGAAAGGGCCCACACCACAGAATATTTTTGTTTAAATACATTCAGCGTAAATACATGCTACAAAAACTGTTGAATTAGGAGCTTCAGATCTACAAAGTATTTTGAGTATTCTAGCAGCAGCTTTAAAAAAAGGAATTTGGATTGTATTTTGGAAAGTTTTCTGTTTCTGATTCTTGTACTCATACGGAAACTGCCTTTGCTCGATGGTAGGAAAGTCAGTACTGATTTATTTTTCCTTTTTAACTTTTTTTTTATATATATACATAGTGATGAGAGAGAGAGAGAAATCCCAAATCTTTCTGCCTAGTATTAATGCACACAGTAAGGCTTCTGGAAGTATCTACATGCTGTAGAACCCACATCTCTTTTTCAAAAGGAACCTAGAAATCTTAGATTAATTGTGATGAGCAGGTAGATCCTTAAATAAATGAACCATTCTTCAAAATAGCGCTGAAGTCTTACAGACATGTTTCACTTGGCTGAATTTGCCCCTGTAATCTCGATCCTCACAGTAAGAACAAAGGGAGACATGTACAGAGACCATTATCATTTTAGTATTTCCCCAGTGGGGTCCATTGTGTCAGGACCTACAAAGGAACCAATTTTATATAGTTAGAGCAACTATCCTGTCTTGCTCCTAACTCCCCACTTGTGGCCAGAGAATAGAGGCAGCTCGTTGGTTCTTGGGGCCAAGTGTTACATTGGCATGTGAAGTGTGTCTAAACTCTTTCTTTTATTGTCCTCCCTCCCCTCGACTCTTGGTCTGCAGGAGCTCTCCTTAGCTCTGAGATGTTTGTCATCCTCATGCTCTACCTCTGGCTTGGGATCGGACTGGCCTGCGCTGGCTTCTGCTGCCACCAGATGCTGCTGATCCTGCGTGGGCAGACGCGGTACCAGGTGCGGAAAGGGATGGTGGTAAGAGCCCGGCCCTGGAGGGAGAACCTGCAAGAGGTCTTTGGCAAGAGGTGGCTGCTAGGACTTCTCATCCCCGTGCTGAATGTGGGAAGTGACTGCCGTAGGCAGAAAGAGAAATAACATTCCTGGGCGGCTGTGTGCATCCCATGCACACAACATCTCCCCTGTTCTCTCCCACTGTCTCCTGGATCACTAAAGAGCTGGGCCGCTCCATCTCTTGGGATTGCAGCCTCTGTGGGAGGAAAGGACTGGTTATCAGACAGAATAAATTTAGCATATTAACAAGGAGATCACAAACCATGTAGATGAAGAGATACTGCAGCTTAGTAGTCACATCACTGCACCTGTGTTCATAGCAACACTCTTTGAACCAGCAGAAAAATCAGTCAGACCCTCCTGTGGCTTCCTGCCTGACTCCTCCAGCCCCCAGCCCCATTAGCTACCCTACAGAGCCCCTAATGAACCGCAGCAGGAGCTTTCAGAGAGCCTGGGCTGTTGTGTAGACTGCAAAAACGGTGTCTGTTCCTTGGGAGGGTTTTGCAGGGTGCCTTTTTGGCTCTCGTATACTTGAGGCAACTTCACAGTACTGAGAAGCCTTTAATGACAGAACTGCAATGCAATCAAGCTGCCCTAGGAACAGGCTATGCACATGGCTAATGCGGCAGGTCAACCTTCCCTCCACAGGCTAGAAAGTCAGGAAGAAAACAAGGAGAAATTCAGAATTTCTCATTTCTGTTCTTGATCTGCTCCCGGTGCAATGGTACATCAGGACTGTAGCTCTGCTCCTTATTTTTAGCAGTCCTTGGCCCAATGACACAGTCCAGGCAAAGCTGCCTCTCTGACAGAGAGCAGCAAGCAGATAAATCACGATCAGACAGAGGCAGAGGGGGAGAAAACCGCAGAGGTGAAGGAAAAGGCTGTGTTTAAGAAGCTGTGTGATGAGTCAGGCTGTGCGTGCCTGTGAGAGAGAGGGAGGGAAGTGTGGACGCGGAGCGAGCTGTCAGGAGGGTGCCAAAAGCCCTGCTGATGTGTCCGAGCCCCGACGCATCACCCCCTCACAGGGGCACCTGCACCATTAGTGCTCTGGAGAGTTCAAAACCCCAGGAGGCAGGGAGGCTTTCCAGCCAGTCAGGACGCTTCACTTTGCACTGAAACAAACAAAAAAATGTTTACCTCGGACATCCCTGCCACACCGTACTTATAGGCTCTCCAGGGCAATTCCCTCTCGCATTGCTGCTGAGGGGTAAATTCATCCATGTTATAACTCCATTAAGGAGGTTAATGGAATTACTACAGGGATTAATCAGCCTAATGTGTCAGTTGTTTTCTAGCTGCAGCAACAGCCCATGAGATCAGTGCTGAGATCCTATGCTAATAGGTGCCTTAAGAAAGGATACCATGACATCTCTACCAGGATCATAAGCGCTGGCTTCCCCAGCAGCTGCAACAAGAAGCCTCCATTTTGGCGAACTGCATCAGCTGATGTGGGCTGGATAGGAATCCATTGCTTATCTTTAATAGGCTGGGGAGTATGCTGACAAGCCACGAAAAATGTCATTTCTTCCTCAGAAATGTTCTCGGTGCATTCCAGCTATGGGAATGCACCTGCTTTCATCCTTGTGTTTCTCACGAGCCGGAACAGGGGCACTCATTCCTGCAGGCTTTGTAACCGCCCTTCGCCGCTTCACCCTTGTATACACATTTGGATCAATAACAAACAAAGTCTATTGTGATGAGCAGAGTAACCATGAAAATATACTGGAAAACCCTTAGCTGGATAATTAAAACCTGTAGGATATATGTCCTTCCACACCGTGTGTTCGCATGAACGCACTGCTGTTTCCATGTGTAAAACTGGATTTTCACTAACAGTGAACAATAAAAAGTGTTCTGATTTTTTACATGAGCTGTATTGTGCTTTTTGACAGTTCATTAGCTGTCTCTGTGCATTTGTTACAGCATACATATGGACATGTTGAATGAAAAAAAAGTTAGGATTTGTTTATTGGCTTTGCCAATAATTCATCATACAATTTTGGACAAGTCCTTTCACCCTTCCTACTTTAATGTAATGACCAATCTAAAAATGCATCTAATAACCAACTTGCAGATCCATTCTAATTTCTATTTATAAATTACACTATCAACCTCAACTGAAAGCTACAGGAAAATTAAGCTATTATCATCGCCCACAAACAGCATCTCGATGTAAATTATTCCTTACTGGTACAATGGCATCAAGGTGAGCAGACAGTCACCTTGTCGCCGGAACCAGAGCCGGCGCTTCGTGCCGTACATCTCGCCTTGGAAGGATTCCCAGGATTATTCTTATTCCACAGAGCAGTTGATCCAACTTCTTTTTCATATATTTCTAAAAGCAACAGGCTCCCGATGTTTCAGCCAGCAGCTTCCTCACATCAGCAGAAATTATGGTTGACAGCTTCGCTCTCTGCTTTTGGCATTTGATTGACACTGCAGTCTCGGGCAGCTCGTGGCACTCGGTGCCGGCTGCCATGCCGCTTCAGGCTGCGAGCTCTTCGGGGCCGCGCGCTGAGAAGGGCACAACCAACCCAGAGTTTTGGTGGGCCACTCTGCAAGGACAGCCCCCTCGCAGCACAACAGGATTAGCTGTCCATGAAGCCTGTCGCCCCGTCGCACCAGGGTTGGATCATGCCCAGCCCCTGTGCCAGGGTCACAGCTGTCCGCCCTCCCCAAGTCTCGGTCCTTGCTGAAGCACAGAGCCATCCCAGTTTGATGGGTTAACTGCAGCACAGTTCCCCATAATTATTCTTTCTGTACTCCTGGCTGTAAATTGCTGCATTGCCATTTTATGCAGCTAAACAGTTCCTTTGCAGCAAACTACTGGATTTTAGCAGTAGTGGTGGGACTTTCAGATGTATACAGCCTCTACAGTTATGATCCTCTGAGATGAAGAGAGCTATAAAAACGTAACATTAGACTGACCCTGTATATTGGCTTGTTTCTCTGCTCATTCCCAAGTGGGCGGATTGCCCTGTTTGGGGTAGAGTGGTTCTGCAGGAACAGCTGTAGCTCTTCAAATACCCATCTGCCCTGACATCCCTTCCTTGTCATACCTGTGCATCCACTTACAGAAAGCCTTGGCAAGAAAATGTAACAGGGCTCAACAACTGTGAAGAGAACCTTTGCTCTTAGCTATAATTTGGTAAATGAAGTCTGAGCTCAATGGCAATGTCACAAATCCCAAATCTGTTCAATGGTTCTGAAGTTTTATAAGGATAAATAATAAAAGCTTTTCATTTACTGTGCTTAGAGAGCCATTACTTATTATTTGCATTTTATTCAAGAGCAGCTGCAATAGCAAATATATTTTGGAAAATGATTTCTTGTGACAATGTCTAAAAACTTATAAAGGTTTTAAAAATAAAACACTTAGGGCTTCTCTGGCTTTGGAAAATCAGATGAGCATCATTTCTGCTCTGGTAATGCTAGTGGCTGAAGTAAAAGCTCACTGTTGCTTAAGACCTTGCACAGAAACCATAGACTTTGGCTTAGTGGCTTGTCTATTTTAAGTGTGGCTACCTGAAAAAATGGTGCCGCGTCTAAGTCTCAGAAGTCTTTGCAATGACAGCATAAAGCAAATTAGGAGATGCAACCATGAAGTAAACCAGAAGTCGTCTGTTCTTATGTATAGTAAGCATCTCATACTAAATAAGAAGTAGATGGTGTTCCTCTTCATACACTATTAGGCAGCTCGCAAGGCCTGCATGCAAAAGGTCTTCATTGAATATCCTCAGAGGATACAGAGTTAAAACATGAAGAGTCTCAAGAGATAAGGCACTAGGAACATATGAGAAAAGATGACATGAAATAGCATTTATCTTGTTTAAGAAATAGCCAAGTCAAGGGAGATGATCACAGTCTAAAAATACTTGCAAGGAGGCAGAATAAATGAATGAGGAGACTCATTAACTGTAAGGAGATAGCTGGAGGAGGATGGGCAGTCCCGTACTGAGAGAAAGAAAAGTTGAGGTCAGAGCTTAGGGCAGCTATCTTTAAAACAGTCAGAACACAGCAGTCAGAGAAAGTGGCCCCAGTGAGAGCAGAAGTGATTTGACATTTGTTGGGATGGTGCACTGAGAGCCATCAGGCAGTAGGAGGTATGACAACAGAATTCAAGTTATCTTCACTGATAGTTGACTGAATGGACATAAAGAAAGCCCAGACTGAGAAAACTCATTGCTAATCACTTTCTGCACAAAAAAACCCCCCTCAAAGTCCCAGCAGAGCCAAAAGGGTTTTTCTCTCTTGCAGAGAGCTGCATGGGTAGAAGTCATAAGTAGCAACAGCAGAGTGTACATAGTTCTCTTTGAGTTATTTAAAGACTAGCCAGAACTATCATAGTTGGAGTAAAGCAATGACCTACTTATTCAATATAAATAAATAAAGGGAGAAGGAAATTTAAAGCATATGTGGAGTCTCTGTGCCCTGATAGATATTTAAATGAATGGAAACATAATGTCAGACAACATATATTATGAACAGTAAGATGTTCTCTAATAACTGCATGTCCACATGTGAGTTCTCTGCTTTTCCAGCTCATTTCCAGAAAGCCAGGCGAACAAAGAGTCCATGGAGATTACACCAATAGTCGGCAAATATGGACCAATTAGTGCTTCGGGCCTCTTACAAAGCCATCCAGCCAGCAGCCTTGTCTTCATTACACCAGAGAGGTTTTAGCATTGGTTGTCCTACTGAATCTAACAGGCAAGTGATGTCAGAGCTCAGACGGGCCAGTCCTGTGTCCCGTTAGGCTTTTGGAGCCAGCATGTTCTGGTCTCCCCAGATGTTTACAAATAAAAAACGCAAGTTCTCCAGTACTAGTGTCTTACACTGTTTGCACAGTGTCCCATTTAACATGTTGGCAGACACCTTAACAGTAGTTCTAGAATTGCTATCAATTAAAAATAAATGGAGCATGTTGATCAGTTTACTTCAAAAAAGGCAAAGTGGTGGATGGCAATAGCAAGTTCAGCATGTGAAAGAGAAAGCTCACCTTGTGGTCAATGAGGATGGGAAAGTTTCATTTATCTGTTACTGATTTTCTAAACACCGCTGTTAATCTACCTTGATCTTGAACA